TTGTCATCCTCAACCAAACCCATTCTATAGATTTAAAAAAAAATTAAACTTTATGTTTAGCTTCCAGCTACACAATATGGCTAATGCATAGATGTTTTACATGTCACACTCCAAACGTTGCCTAGTTTGCCCCCATTCCCCTTCTTTTTGAAATCCTGAATCCGCATCTGCTTTCTGTTTGACACATTTGTCACATATCTATTAATTATCTGTAATGATGACACGATGATCATAATATCTAAACTGATATTTGTTTTAAACAAAGACGTCAGAAAACGACATGGTCAGTTCTTATGGATATTGCAAAATGATACAAAAAAATCTCTTTTTTTACTTGTACTGAGAAAAACTGAAAAAAAAACTTTTTCAAATATCACACAATATAGTTTAAAAGTTGGTTGCCGCTTTCCGATTTCTTTAGTTGACAATCGTTATTGCACTACTTGTTACTGTAAAATCGTTATGTTAATTCATACTTTACTGTAGGTACCTCTGCATGGCTCATTAAACATTGCTAATTGTGGTTTTGTAAAAGATGTTTGTTGCATAACGTTAGATAAAAAACTAAATGGGTTCAGATAACAAGTAGTATGTAAACATTTCTATTTCGTATACCGATGGTGCGTGACAGTAAGATGTGTATTAAGTGTATTAATATTTTCTGTGAAGGTGAAAAAATGAATATAATTTTTCCAGCTGTATTTTGAGATATAACATTAAAATTAAAATCAAATCTTAAAGACGAATGGGTATTTACAAGACATGTGTACTTTGGAGCCCTTTGTGTGACGATGATTAATAAAAGTTTGTCGGATCAATCTGTGTGTTCAACATGTTCAAGCCTGACTCTGTAAGGAAAGGTTTCACACGATGATCTTCCAACACAAGTGACATGTTTTGCCTGACTTAATCAGCCCCTAATTTATCTAAAAGGAGGGAACTTTAAACACATACATATTTTTCTTAATAAATCTTGCTTTCTGTAGCTCCGATCATTCTTTGATACAAGAAAACTTGGTTTATTGTTGTTTTGGTTGTATTTATGTTTTTTTATATATTTATTATTAGCCATGCTGTAAATATTTTTGGGGTTTGTAAGTGATCTGTTTTAAGGCAACATATATTACTTTACATACCCTCTTTCTCAATGGCGGACCACATGTCTTGCCCGCCCAAACAAATTTGCAGAGCCTACCTAATTGTTTGTTCTTGCATCAAAATTTTAATATGCATGAAATATTTGCCACTGAACGTTAGCAAACGATAACAAATGAATTATCACTAAAAAATCCGATTAATGTAGGGACCAAACCGACCGTCATATTCACTTAATATGTATGTAACACACAATTGTAGCATGTGTCACTGTAATAATAAAAATATGAGTTTGTAATATTTCAAGTATGTTGTGCATAAGGGAGGTTACAATTAACGGCGTTCAAGATATAAATTATGTCATGGTTATCTCCCTTATACCAAAGATGTTGTATGTATACGTGTTATCTTGAAGTTATTTACTTTGCAGGCGTTTTCAAGTTGTCGAAAACAAGTATTTATCTTGTATTAATAGTCAAGCACTTTATTTGTCAAAGTCTAATTTTCTTAAGATAATTTGAACACCGAATATTGATAATTTTTTAAGGTCTATTTCTTAAGAACTTTCTAAATATTTTAATTTCCCAATAAAAAATTATACGTACATGACCATGATGACTGAGGAGAGACCATGACTTCACTCACAAAACTTTGTTTACATTTGTCTTAAACTTAAAAAAAAAATAATAGAAATCCTATGTATCCATATTGTCCAACACACAGCAAAATGTAAGGTTAAAGTCATGTTTATATAAATTCATGAAGATCTGTTACAGAAAATTTGTTCATTATACATAAGGGAGCTACCATTTGATTTTCATGGGCGGGGGGGGGGGGGGGGGGCTAGGATGAAATTTGAAGAAAAAAAAGGCAGGACAGGAGTTTTGAGTAAAAAAAAAGGCAAGATCAGCAACTTGAGGAAAAAAGGGAGGATGACAATTTATGTAAAACAAAGTCAAGATAAACTAATAAAAAAAAGGCATGGCCGAATAGAGTGAAAAATAAAAAAGCAGGACAGAGATTACAACTAATGAAAAATGCAGGACAACATTTTTCATCATATCCCCCCCCCCCGGTAGCTCCCTAACTCATGATTTTAATGATTAAAATCCAGCAACTCTGGAAAGACAAATCTGAAAATCTTCAAAATCAGATAGAAGTTGGTATTCCTGGAAGGATACTTTGTTTAGTGTTTCGTAAAAATCCATTACAATGAACCTTTAAGTTAGTTTTCATTACGGAGACGAGACACACATGACATTGTCATCTTTTTACAGTTTCAGTCCTATTTTCCTAACTGTCCAAAATCCAAAATAAGACTGTAGAATTTAAAATAATCGTGCAAAATTTTCCAATTTTAAACAAATAATGTAAAGATCTATTAAAGCTTGCAAACGTGGTTTATCCAAAGACGTGCTCAGATGAAACATGCATGAAAGGTCAACGATCACAACCATATAATCAGCATATACATAGATATAAGAAGTGGTATGAGTGCCAATGAGACAACTCTCCATCCAAGTCACAATTTGTAAAAGTAAACCATTATAGGTCAAAGTACGGTCTTCAACACGGAGCCTTGGCTCACAACGAACAGCAAGCTATAAATGGCCCCTAAAATGACTAGTGTAAAACCATTCAAACAGGAAAACCAACGGTCTAATCTATATAATAAACAGCTGCGCCATGAGCGCATGATACGCCCGTCGTCTTGTGTGTGAATTTTTATGCAATAAGCATAAATAGTTTCTGACATACGGCGTGACATGCGAAAACCCCCCTTTATTTTTTTACAAAAAACTCAATATCTATAAAATAAAATTTTGAATCAAAACCAAAAAGTATACAGATCTTTAGATTAATATAACTAAGAAGTGTGTAAAATTTTAAGCAATAATCATAAATCGTTTTTGAGATACGGCGCGACATGTGAAAACACCCCTTTTAAAAAAAAAATCAATATCTCAAAAATAAAATTTTGAATCAAAACCAAAAAGTATACAGATCTTTAGATTAATATAACTAAGAAGTGTGTAAAATTTTAAGCAATAATCATAAATCATTTTTGAGATATGGCGCGACATGTGAAAACCCCTCCCCCTTTTTTTACAAAATACTCAATAACTCAAAAATAAAATTTTGAATCAAAACCAAAAAGTATACAGATCTTAAGGTTAATATAACTAAGAAGTGTGTAAAGTTTTAAGCAATAATCATAAACTGTTTTTTAGATACGGCGCGACATGTGAAAAACCCCTCCCCCTTTTTAACAAAATACTCAATAACTCAAAAATAAAATTTTGAATCATCACCAAAAAGTATACAGATCTTAAGATTAATATAACTAAGAAGTGTGTAAAGTTTTAAGCAATAATCATAAATTGTTTTTGAGATACGGCGCGACATGTGAAAAAAAACCGTGACACACCTGTTTTAGTTACTAAGTCCCGTAACTCAAAAAGTTTTAATCTTATTTTCACCAAAAAGTATACAGATCGTTTGACCATCATAAGAAACAACTATGTTAAGTTTCATGAAATTTGGATAAGTCATTCTCAAGTTACGGTGCGACATGTTTACGCCGGACAGACAGACGGACAGACAGACGGACAGACGGAAAGACAGACGGACAGACAGACGGACGGACGCCGGACATTTGTATAACATAATACGTCCCGTCAAAAATTTGACGGGCGTATAAAAAACGAGAAATATGTCCGTTACTGACAAAAAGATCTGTCTTAGTATGCACATTAGTCTTTTTTTTTATTTCGAGATGTGCTGAAATGAAAAAAAAATAGAAAGGTTTACAATATTCTCTCGTTGACAAGTTTATAAATATAAATGTTAAGATCATTTAAGAAACTTGGGGCATCAGGAAAAAGAAATTGATAGCAGATCTGGAATAGTCCCTCTTTTTTTCCCCTTTATTTTCTAGATTTAGGGCAAGTAAGAGCTATACATGATGTTTATCACAGTATGTTGGCCTCTAGATGTCTATGGAATTGTTTAGTGGTGTTGTGTTGGTGCCTCATTGACGTTTAACCCAAACCTTGTTTAATCACAAAGTTAAATGTTTTCATCAACACTAATTAATTATACCAGTATACTAGTATACAGATTGGAAGATTCTATCATCTATCTTTTCATCATTCTGCAGTGTTCTATTTCTTTTTTTTTATGCTACCGTGTATTATTGTTCATACTACTATGGTTTTCCTATTACAAAATTCTTTTAGTATCTGTATTTGCCTTTTGTCTGTGTTTGTTATGTTTATGTTTTACTGACGTCTTAACGTCAGGCAACTTATTACAGCTTTTATTAGGGTTCTTTGATTGCACTTGCAGTGCCAGAAAATGACAAATCTTTATCTACATATATGTTGGCATTGCACACGGTCATGCATCTTGGACTGCATACTATGACGTTTTTACACTAAATCCTGTGGTTCAACGGTAAACTAACTGATACTTTAGTCTGGGAGAACATGATTTATTTATTAGGTGTTATTGGCTTTGAACTAGCTTTATCCCGGACACATTCTGTATATGCCTTTCTCAAGTCAGGAGCCTGTAATTCAGTCATTGTTGTTGGAAGTTGTCAGTCATATTTGTTTTCTTTTATTGTTTTGTCATAAATCAGGCCGTTGTCTTTTTCGATTAAATTGTTTCACATTTTGTCATGTGTGGCCTTTTAAAGCAGGCTATGGGTTATGGGTTTTTCTTATTGTTGAAGGCCATACGGTGACCTACATTTTCTCGAATCAACGTCATCTTGGCTCTGGTGGATAGTTGCCTCATTTGGCAATCATAGATTCATACTACATCCTTATTTTATATTTAAAAAAAATACTGTGCAGTCCCCAAATTAATGAAAGGACTTTTGTTTAAATAAAAATACTGAGAAGATGATAAAATACTTTATATAATCACAATGTATGATATTAACAGTAAAAACAATAAAACTAATCAGGTAACTTACACAATAATAAAAATGATGAAAGATAATAAAAACATGGATGTAAAAAAAAACTAAATTACTACAGTATCAAGGCACTTACTATATTTCAACATCAAGCCATTTTTATTCAAAAATAAAATTCTAAATCTTTTAAGAAAGTAGTTTATCCTTATAAAGTCTGTAACCATATTTCAATAATTTAATTTTGGATGTAACGCGTCTTCTGATTGGTTGACAGTGTTTTGTCTATCAGCTCATAGACATAATTTTGTCATATTACCTTGACGTCATGAACGTTTTTTAATGATTTACCCCGGCTTAAAACGGAATTTTGTATTAAATTATAAGGAATGACTAATATTTTTCTGCCTATTCAAAATAACATAAAAATGTGGTGCACCCTTTAAAATAACCCGCCACACGGGTTATTCAGTGTGCACCACATTTTTTATGTTATTTCTTCATAGACAAAAAAAATATTACAGTCATTCCCTAACTAACATATTTTAATGTTGTTTTAAAACAATTTATTTTTTATTATCTTCAGTTTTTATATATATTTATCCATTCTTTTTTTTTAAATCTTTCATTTTCACTTTGTTTAACATAGAAATGAATGTTTTAATAAAGAATTCGAAATATGATACATTTTTTAACAAAATTTATGCTATAGGTCGCCAGACAAGCAGATGAAAAATTGTATTTTAGCATTTGATCAAATAAGGGCTTATTCTATAATATACATTTTGTTCCTCGACTTAAATCTAAAGTGAACTAGCTTGATTTTATCAAACTTTAAAGGTTTGCCATAAAAGTCAATAAAATTCTGCCAAAAAAGCAACTCTCTTATCGGGTTCGGTAATTTTACATTGCTGTGTACACCAACAGAAACTGCATTTTTTTGTTATAATAATTTAGGGATTTCCACATATAATAATTTGAGAGAAAACGAATCAAAAGCGACTTTGAGATTACAATGGACAATGATCTATATTATGTTTGTTACATTTAATTGCACATTACTTATAAGGCATATATACATTAACAACAAAAGTTACACATAAGGCATTCTTTATCTTATGACCTTACAAAACTTTCCTCTTTTTTTGCTTGAGTAATGTTGACTGTCGAGGATTTTTTTTTTGGCTCATAAACCAAAGCATGAAATTTTCACAAACTGATAAAATGAATAACTTTGATCAAAGAATATTAGGGTTTGATAACTTTCAAAGTTAAAATATTTCATCAAGTTTATATTCCCCAAAGTTATAATTCCTAAAGGCCTACTTGTAGTAGTTCTATAATTGTATGTTTATCCCTAACAACAATTTTTTTGTTTTCATCATATGTTTAAACTAAAACAATTAATGATTATGTTTAAAAACTAACATTAAATATAAAACATTATTAATTAAACACATTTTTAAAAACGTTTTTGATATTTTCACAATATTAACTTTTTTGAAACTCTAAAACATTTAAAATAGTAAGTCTGGTATTCAGCCACTTCCTTTCTATTGCCTTTATGACAATCTGTTATATTTGCCCACCATTTGTTTACAGTTTGGGCAAGTATGAACAACATCTTTACAGGCGTCAACACAGAATGGAATCAGGCAACATCCCAGCCATCCTCTGTAATGATAAAATATACGTTTAAAAGGAAGATGCACACATATTTAGTGATATACAAGGGCCCTTAATTGAAACAATACATATTCTTATTCGTATACAAAACTATTTACTACATTTTATGATTCCTATATTTTCAAGAAGAAATTGTTTACAAAATTCACTGTTTTTCTCAATAATAAACCAAAAGTGTAAAAGGTATGGTCAAAGAAACAAATAAATCTACACTTATTACAAGTATCAAAGTCATTATATTATTATATATAATTTAAGAATTTCTGGATTAGGTTTATTAAATGTAGAATAATAGGCAAGTATAAAGAAAATAGAAATATGGGGCGCTAAAATATAAAGAGAATAGAGTAAAATGGACAACATTGAACAAATAATCATAAGAAAAATATGGTAAAAATATTACAGAATACAGAAGAAATAAAGACATACCCTTATATCCGACTTCAAGTTAGCTATTTCTATACTTGAAGTATTTTGCAGTAAAAACAATGTAATTAAGTAACTAATTTGCTATTGCATAAAGCTAATATGTCTCTGTAGCGATATGAACTAATCACATTCTGCTATATGAACTAATCACATTCTGCTATATGAACTAATCACATTCTACGATATGAACTAATCACATTCTGCTATATGAACTAATCACAGGCACATTCTGGGATATGAACTAATCACATTCTACGATATGAATTAATCACATTCTGCTATATGAACTAATCACATTCTGCGATATGAACTAATCACATTCTGCTATATGACATAATCACATACTATAACAATTATTCGAATTGTCCCAGACATTTGCGCCGGATACAACACGATTTCGTCATGAAATGACAATAACTTACCCAAATAGACATATAATGCCGACCGCCATCCAGGTTAACATTCCTGTTTCATAATGTGTTGCTGTCATGATGTCCGCTTGACAAGATTGACAATTTAGTCTCACTGGTACCTCACGGAATGTCTGACGAAGCAACACATGCTGTGGTTGTTGTATTACAACGGTGGCTGCGGTCTGTTGGCCGACAGGTGCATATGCTAAAACAATAAACGAGATTATTATAGTTTACGAATTCATCAGTTTTTCCGTTTTCACCAAAAGCTCCAGCTTGAAGATTAAAGGGTAGAATTTTTACATTTTTTTATTACGGAAAAGATTTGAAGTATATTCATGGAATCAGGTATATTAGTGTTTAGTCCAACAGTATGATAGTCATGGTTTCATGCAAGTGGTTAAAACTATACAAAAAAACATGCATTTAAAGTATGCCCTACTTCGGCTATGGTAATGGTCAATTTCTAGTCCGAGTTTGCTCTGACGTCCGACGATCCGTTTGGACAGCCAGTACTAATCATTAAAACAGGCCATTGTTTTTATAAGAAGACTAAATTTTCAAACTGTCTTCAGTTTTCCTTTGTACTATTTTGTTGAAACAACCAAATGACTGCAAAACAAAGGAACATCATTCCCATGAAACCATGAAGCATGTATGTGGCAAAACAAGAGGCAATGCAGTGGCGGATCCAGAGGGGGGCGTAGAGGGCGTACGCCCCCCCCCCCCCCTTTGCTTGCACTTTTTTTTTTTTTTTGTAAAATGATTAATCAGACTAGACTTCGTGAACTTTGCCATTTCCCGTGTATTTGATTTTTATGCGACAATTCTTTACTTAAAAAGATATTTTTCGCTCGTATTTACTATATATTATTGATTATGTCAAAGTCATGTGATTCTCTACGGTAGCGTTGACCAGTTCGTCGAAAAAAACGTCACTCAGTCATTTTGAAATTCAAATTACAGTAACACATCACTACAAACCAGTAAAAGTCTGAAATGGCCTATATCTGTACTCGACTGTACTGATTTTTACTCGACCAGTCTGAATTGGTCTGAATTTTACTCGACATTACTCGACCCTAGTCTTAACCATACTCAACCGTACTGATTTGTACTTGACCCTTATCTTTGCCATTGAAAATATTTTGAACTATTACTGGACCAGTCTGAAACAGTCTTAACCCATTCTCGACCTGTACTCGACCAATTTTTTCAGTCTAAACCATACTCGACCAAAGGTCTGAACAATACTCGACCAGTCTGAACCATACTTGACCAAAAAACCTATACTTTTTTTTATTTAGCTGTTAAAATTAATTTCTTTTTTTCTGACATGACAACAGCCACAATAAAATAAAGATATATATAAAAACATATTTTTACATCCTTACATGATTCTCAGATTTATCAAATAGAGATAGTTAAATTAAATTATCTTATATAATAATTTAATTATATTAATTTTAAAGTTTTAGAGTTTTGTTAAAAAAAAGATTTTCTTTTAACTAAAAACCACACCTTTACTGAGGGCAATAAAACCTTATTAAGGTGCTTCTTGTTTGGCATGTGTTTTTTTTTTTTTTTAAACTTAATTTTCCTAAATTCTTAAAGAAAATCTATATAGGTTTCATGGTTACATACAATAGTTATATAATTATCATTTTAATGAGGTAACAACAGACAAAAAAATCACTGAAATTGTTTAACCTTATATTAGAAATATATCTATTCTTGTTATAATTTGGGATATATTATATATAATATATATCAAAAAGGGATAAAAAAAATTAAAGAAATAGATTAAATTTTTCTTCTGATTAGTGGTAAAGTATAAAGTAATACCTCCTGCTTAGGGCAAACTCATTAAATAGATCACACCTGGTCAGAGAGTATTAATTTCTTATTAACATTTATTAAAAATTGAAACATCCTGTGAATCTTAAATCGCAAGGCCTTTTGAATTCACTAAATAAGTAATACACGAGTTTAAGAAAAAAGGGGCTTTCTTTTTACCTGTAAAACACACATGTACTGAGGTAAATAAACCTTATTGAAGTGCTTCTTGTATGCCATGTCTTTAATTTTGACAAAAGTTATTTAAATTTAATTGAAATAAATTTTTTCTGCAACTTTGGAACACATTTCTTTTTTTAAATGGTTATCAAGGATTGCTATGGAAGTTCTATTATCATGATTATATTAAATTCTTGGTTTTACAAAACAAAGGTGTGATTTTTAAAATTTATTAAGTTGCTTTATATACTATTTTAAATATATTTTAATAAAAAAAATGTTCACTGTATTATTAACTAAACTCAACTGACACCATAAATCTATACAAGGCTTAAGTAAATGGTGAAAATTGTCCAGTAACCATAAAATATATCTGAAACATTCAAAAAAATTTGAATAACATTGAAAATATTAGTCACAATTCAGTTTTGAGATTATCTGATCAGCTTGTTTTATTTTATTTTAAAGGTGATATATATATGTAAGTGTTGATAAATATGGTGTTGAATTTATATTATGTTTATTGTGAAATTTTGGTTTCAATGCCATATTGAATACATTTTAAATTTCAAATTGTTGTTCAAATTTCTAGCCAGGGGAAATAGCTGTTAAAAACAGTTACTAAATTGATGACATACAATAGATAGATACAAAAATCAGGTCTAGGTTGGTTAAGACTTAGTCGAGTATGGTTCAGACTAGGTCGAGTATGGTTCAGGCTAGGTCGAGTATGGTTCAGACTAGGTCGAGCATGGTTCAGACTAGGTCGAGCATGGTTCAGATGAAAATAAAATGGTTAAGTACTGGTCGAGTAAAGGTCGAGTACGAGCTCAGACTGTTAAGTATGGTTCAGACTACAGTCGAGTATTATCAAGTAAATTTCAGACCAATTCAGACTGGTCGAGTAAAAATCAGTACAGTCGAGTACAAATATAGGCCATTTCAGACTTTCCTGGTTTGTAGTGCATTGCTTAGGTTGAGGATGACAAGCATGACGCCTTCAAAGCGACAAAGTATTGAGCAAGAACGTATTGACTTCTATTTCACAATTCCACCCAACAGAAAGTAATACTCTATTACACTCTCATGAAAAAAAAGTTCCACAGCAATATTATTTACCTACGAAAACATGTTTAACCCCACACGCCCCAGCCCATTAATAACATTGCTGAATAGTGATCCCCAGTCAGTAAGCTCTAGATATAGATTTAAAGTCTAAGGTACGGACCATTTGATCTGAGGGGGCAGTCTGAGATTTTTAAGAGAAAAAATTCTGACCCTGATTTTTGCCTTAAACAAAAATTCTGGCCGTATCTGGATTGAAAACAATAATCTTGTCCACTTTTTTACTATTAGAAAAAAATATTTTCAACAGAATTATTTAGCATTAAATGAACATGATGAATAAAAAACGGGCGTATTTATTTTGGGGGGGGGGTTGTATGTGAATCCCATATCTGACCGGAATGTCTGTTTCGCCGAACTGATATACTGAATACTTTTTTCAAAGCACGACTGCAACCTGCCTGCTGGGTGTGGCCTATTGTCTCCATGTGTCGACTGTCATTCACAACTTCATTGTCATTTCCGACTAATTCGTAGCCTTTGGTTGATTTGGAACCCCTCACTTCCCTTGTTGGGTAAAACATTTCAACCAAACATTTGGATGAAAATTGCTTGTTTGTCTTTCTTCGTGTCGGTCGTATTGTAAATTTCATTGAATAGCCGTATATCTTGTTTACAACAAGAAATCTGTGAGGTTATGCTAACTAACCATACAACAAACGAGAATTTTCCATGTCCATTTTTTACTGACAAATCCCACATCAAATATATTAATTAGTACATAGCTTTGAATCCATCCAATCATTTCATAATAGACAATTGATGAAGAGAATACGGCACCAAAAATGTCCAACCCCTACACTTTAACTATATATAAAATGCATTTTACACTTATTTTATGTTTTTTTAGCCAAAAAAAGGTCAAAAAAAAATGTTCGCCTCGCTCCGCTCGCCGATCTTTAATACTACGCCCCCCCTTTCCAAAATCCTGGATCCGCCCCTGCAATGTCAGAGCCGTTTAAACATATTCGTAGAGGCATATGGGCAACCACTCTCCACTTTTCAACCACAATTTGGATCTATTATATATAGTCCAGGTTACAATAACAATAAAATCATTTTTTTTTTTAAAGTTGTACTTTATTGGATTAATGCATATTGTTCTAATCTTAATATTCCATTGTTATATTCATTCAGTTATTCGCTTTTGATATATAGAACAAGAGTGCACACACTGAAATGTCTCGCCTTCTTTACTAACCATTGATTTTAATATGTTGATAGTCCTATATATAAAGCTTTACTACAAGTATCACATAAACTCAACATGATCCAAGAAAATGAGGTCAAGGTCAGATAAAACAAACGAGAAATACATGTACACCTTACAATCATTCAATACACCAAATATAGTTAACCTATTGCTTATAGTTTCTAAATAACAGACTTAACCAAGAAAACTAAACATTCATTTGACCAATGAACCATGAAAATGAGGTCAAGGTCATGTCGAGCATGCCAGACAGACATGTACACCTTACAATCAATCTATGCATAAAATATAGTTGATCTATTGCTTATAGTATTTAAGAAACAAACGTACCCATGAAAACTTAACATTGACCAATGAACCATGAAAATGAGGTCAAGGTCAGATGACACCTGCCAGTTGGACATGTACACCTTTCAATCATTCTATACACCAAATATAGTAGACTTATTGCTTATAGTATCTGATATATGGATTTGAACTCGAAAACTTAACCTTGTTCACTGATCTATGAAATGAGGTCGAGGTCAAATGAAAACTGTCTGACGGGTATAAGGACCTTGCAAGGTACGCACATACTAAATATATTTATCCTATTACTCATAATAAGAAAGAAATTAACATTACAAAAAATCATAACTTTTTTTCAAGTAGTCACTGAACCATGAAAATGAGATCAAGGACAGTGGACATATGCCAGACGGAAACTTCATAACATAAGGCATCTTTATACAAAGTATGAAGCATCCAGGTCTTCCACCTTCTAAAATATAAAGCTTTTAAGAAGTTAGCTAACGCAGAAGTCATCAGCTCGACAAAAAGCAGCAAATCAACCTTTAAAACGTATATTCCGT